ATTTAAATCACAACACGAGAGAAACTCCCATCTTTTATCCAACTTTTTTATATGCACATATACTTTTCACGTCGATCTGATACATTTTCATAATGAGAAATACTAAACAGTATTTAAAGGGTAAAACTAGTGGTCTCAACGGTCCGGTTCGGTCTTGTTCTTGGAACCGAACCGGTAAGGAACCGAGAACCGAACCGGCTTTGCAGGCCCAACCAGTAGTGTTATGATAAGATGGAATAGCTGCATTAAAAACAACACTACCTGACGTATTTGTGCTGAGTAGTGTTTATCTTATGTACAAGTTTATAAACAAGTCCGCAAACTGAGTTAAAAAATTCGGTCCGCCCGGTAATAAAAGTTCGGTTCGGTTCTCCGTATTGAAGTTCCGGTTCCGGTTCCGTTCCGTCAGGACCGAGAATCGTTGAGACCACTAGGTAAAACAGAGATCTTTTTATCAATTTAACGAAATGCTTTTACATACACATAAGCTTTTTATGTCGAACTGCTACATTTACAAATTAAGAAATATTTAGCAGCGTGGATTTAATTAATTGTGCATTAAATAGTTCAAAAATGGAATGAGACGTAAAACTGGACGAGATGCGAACGGGGTGTTCTCCCAGAAGCAAAATTACATATTGTTTTATTTGTCCAGCAGAAAATCAAAATTGCCAAAAAATTGGATTGAATTTCTAAATTATGAATCGTGATTAAGTAAATACATTGCAGACACATTGACATTGACGGTGAACATATCTTTTAATCAACTTCACGCACATTTTTACATGCACACACACATTTGACGTTGAACTGCTACATTTACAAATTGAGAAATATTTAGCAGCATACATTTAATTAATTGGTCATTAACCAGTTTAAAAAATTGGCCAGATTCAGATGTGGTGTCCTCTAAAAAGAAAATTGTATGTATGTACTATTTTATCTGCAGAAAATCTGATAAATTGCATACAAATTACGCTGAATTTCTAAATCATGATGATCATGATTGAACTTATAGGAACATTGGGGAACAAAATTGCATACTACTTATTTTACCCACGAGAAAATATGAATTGGGTAAAAATAGCTTCTAAATTATGATTGATCACGTGAAGATTTTCAAAACCTTGCAACCAACATCACAACACTTTTTACAAACACGTAAACATTTGACATTTCAAAGTCAAGAAATATTTAGTGTTCATTTAATTAATTGCACTTCAAAGTTTAGACAATCAGAATTGCATATGGATTACAAAAGTAGACCAGACGCTGTGTCCTCCCGGAGTTAAAGTTGAATTCTATTTTATCTAGCAGAAAATCTAAATTTCGTTAAACTTCTAAAATTTAAACTCTACATATGGAAAACCAAGAGATTATGATATCTTGTAATCAATTTAATTTAATTTAAAATCTTACAGGCAACTGCGAATCCTACCTGATTCAGTATTTGGCATATATTATTCTCACAATGGAGGTCTCCCAACGTATGCTCACAGATTTGGACCAAACTAGTGTCAATCGATCACAAATATAATTAGTATGAAATTTGCAAATGGAACTATCTGCCAATGCGCAGGTTTGGCGGAGATATTTGCATTCAAAGCAGAAAAAATGCGCAGGAAATTTGGAAAATGAAAAATATGCCAGCCTTTTGGTGCGTTTTCTCCTCTTTTTATGCAAATATCTCCGTCAAACCTGCGTATTGGCAGATAGTTCCATTTGCAAATTTCATACTAATTATATTTGTGATCGATTGACACTAGTTTGGTCCAAATCTGTGAGCATACGTTGGGAGACCTCCATTGTCAGTATTTTACAATTTGACGTTAAAATCTTGAAATCTCAAAATTTTGTCAATATCATTGTTTTTCTTTGCTCAATGTTATCCTGATTTTGATAAACACAAAAAAACCTAGACAAATACATAACAACAAAAATGAAAATTTCATAGTCCAAGAGGTTTTACATTTTGGAAAAATTGCATAAACCAGTTAAGCGTTCGTAAAAATTGTATTTAATTCTTTTAACCTGCATTCAAATTTCGGGGTCGAAGTAATACATTCTCAAATCTGAAAGCATTTATAAGCGGACATACAATTAATTACACATCAAAGTTTTAAATAATTGTTAAAACTGAACCAGAAATGTGAATGCGGTCCCAGAGACAAAATTGAATTCTTGAGTATTTTATCCAGCAGAAAATTAGAATTGCAAAAAAATTGGATCGACTTCTAAATTATGATTGATCAGATGAAGATTTCATTTCAATCAACTGTACAACCATTCTTACAAACCCACAAACTTTTTGCTTCTAACTGATGCATTTCCAAATCGAGAAATATTAAGCAACGTCCATCAAATTGGACATTTTATGGTAAAACCTAAGGCGGATGAGGTGTTATCCCAGAGACAAAATTGCATTCTAATTTATCTATCCATCCAGCACAAGATCAAAATTTCATATAAAATACCATTCAGATTTTATACCATGATTGAAATAAAGTGATTTTTTTATTATGCTAAATATCAAATTTTTAGTAACTCCCAATTTTATACAGATACAGAATTGAAAAATATATAATGCAAACTCTGTACCTAAAAAGATAGACCCGACCTTAATTTGCCAACCTATTGTAATTATCTGCAAATAAATTTGCAAATATAATAATTACGTGTTTAATAATTAGAGACACTTTATTTAATCAGTAGAAAATGAAAATTGCATTAAAATTGAATTGAACTTAAAATCATATTTAAATTTGAACTTAGGACTAGATTATCTGTTCATCAATGTTAACCTTTTTTATACACACATCCATTTTTGCCGTTGAACTGATACATTTCCAAATCGATAAATATTTAAAACCTTGAATTTACAATTAGTTAATTGCATATTACTAATTAAAGTTTCGAAAATGTATCCTGAAACTAGACCAGATGTGGTGTCCTTTCAGGAACATAATTCAGCACTCGTTTACTACCGGAGGATCAAAATTATATGAAAATTACCCACAATTTCTAAATCATGATTGAACTTCGAAACTCCTGCCATGCAACCTTTTAATCAATTATATACTAATTTTTTACATACACAAATATTTTAGACGTCGAACTTATACATTTCCAAATCGAGAAATGTTTAGCAGTGCATGCATCAAATTATACATACAAAGTTTAGAAAATGCATCATAAAATTTGACCTGGTGTCCTAACAGAGCCAAAATTGCGTTCTGTTTAATCCAGCAGAAAATCAAAATTGCATAAAAACTGAATCGAATTTTTAAATCAGGACTGAACTTATGATGATGAGGGAGTTTACCTATTATTTAATTAACTTCATACCCGTTTACATGCGCATACACTTTTGACGTCGAACTCATCCATTTCCAAATAGGAATATTTACGTAATGTATCAAATTCGACATTACAGTTTAGAAAGTCAGTTAATTAATTTATAATTATGTAAGCATAATCATGTACTTAATCATGGTTCGCAGCAAATTATTAAAATTGCATTCTGTATTGTATTATCCAACAGAATATCAAAGTTGCACGCAAACAACGTTTAATATCTAAATCAGGACTGAAACTATGAAGACTCTCATCTTTTAATCAAATTTATACTATTTTTACGTACACATACACTTTTGACGTCGAACTCATCCATTTCCAAATTGAGAAATATTTATGTGACAGTCAGTAATGCACCAAATTTGCCATTGAAATTTAGAAAATTATTCATTCAGTTAAATAATTTACAATTAAATGTAATCATGTAGTTAATTATTTGTCAAGGTCAAGACTGTATTACACAAATAATGCATAGAATAAGCGTGAACTAAATAAGTTACAGGTTTATTATTAAACTTAAACCGGGAATAAATATATATTTATGTATCGAACTTGTCATTAGAAAATGATGCAATTAATTTGCAATTAATAATTAATTACAATTATTGCAATCATGTAATTAATCATTTGTAAAAGCTCTATTGAATAAATGATTAAATCGAGAAATATTTAGCAGTGTACATTAAATCGAATCCTTAAAGCTTAGAAATTGCATGTTATTTAATTAATGTGATGTAATTAGTTATTTGTCAAAACCCTACATATTAAATGATGCATGAAGTAAATAAGTTATCGATTCATTAAAATTAAATGCATGCATGCATATTATACGTATTCAAATGTATCAAATTGCACATAAAAAGGTTAGAAAATGCATCCTAAAATTGGACCAGATGCAGACGTGATGTCATTCCAGAGACAAAATTCCATTCTATTTTTTTCAGCAGAAAATCAAAATTGCATAAAAATTGAATTTGATTTAAAATCATTATTGAATTGGAATCTAAAATTATCTTTTTATTAATTTTTTGTACACACATCCATTTTAGACGTCGAACTGGTACATTTCTAAGTTAAGAAATATTTAGCAGCAGACATTTTGCAAAAATTTGCACTTGCACTTGACAAAATTGCAAACAATCGCTATCTTTTTCATCAACTTTATAACGGTTTTTACATTCACAGATACATTTCCAAACCAAAGGGTGGACCAAATCGGACACTAAAGGTTACAAAACGCATTACTTTAATTAATTTAGAATTAATTGTAATTAAACTCTATTAAATAATGCGTGGGCTAATTAATTTATCGATTCAGTACAATTAAATGCATGCATTTGCATATTATGTAAATGTGTACATAATATATCGCACAATAAACTCGGTCGGGGCAACGTGGCTGGTTTTGTAAAAGCTACACGTGTCAAAATCCCAAATCCTGGTAAAGCTTGAATTCAATGTGTATAATATGCAAATGACAGCACACACACCGAACCGACCGACCAGTTGGACAACACTTGACAAAATATTAATTTAAACACTGCTAGTTTAGTTTAGTGAGCCATTAAAGTTTAATGGTTTAATTGGATAAGGTGAGTGATTGACTTGGTAATAAAGGGGATTAGTTAGTTTGTACATGCATTATTTTGGCCGGTTATGTGTTTTGGGAGAGAATTTATAGTTTTAAGGTTACTTTCTATTCTAACGGTGAAAGTTTTGACTGAATTTTAATATAGTTAGTAGTTACAAGATATTTAAGATGACGATGACGAACCAGAGTTAAATATAATTGTGGAAATGTTATGTAAAGTTTTATGAAAGGGAGACCATATGTCGATCGTTTGGTTTTTGGTAAAATGAATTTTTATTTGAATTTTTAAAATTGAGGTTTTAGACAGTTTTTTGAGGTGATAAGAACATTTAGGTGGATAAGGTGAAAGGGAGGTTATCAAATTACTTGTAGTTTATTTATATGAACGATTCTTTAACTTTTGGTTTTGTTTTAAAAGGTTTTGTTTTAATCATTATTGAAAGCCACTAATAAACCTTAATCTTCACTTTTTGCAGAATTCAGAAAGATAAGTGACACGATTATTTTGGGTTTCGTCTTATCCTCGTCCATCTACACCGCGTATGGTCTGGTCCTACTAAACGAGAATAAGTCGACGTGGCAAAGTAACAATTAAATACATTCCACTCCACCGGACCGGACTTTCATTCCTTGCCCTTCTGTCTGGATAGTTAGTTATCTCCTCCGATAAGCCAAACCAAGATGGATCCCTCTCCCATCGTGATAACCTTTGCCGCCTTCTTTCTCCTCGCCACAGTCTCCGGACAAGAACCGTTTCGCCGCTTCGAGTACAAATATTCTTTCAAGCCACCCTACCTTTCACAAAAAGATGGCACCGTTCCATTCTGGGAGCATAGCGGAAGTGAGGAGCGATTAGCCCTTATCAAACAATTGATAACCCCAGTAATTTAATAAATGTTGTTCTTCAATTTGTTCACAGACGCCATCGCTAGCGAAGAAAACTTGAGGATAACGCCAAGTTTAAAGAGCCAAAAGGGTAAGAAACCCGTTGCATTTAGTAGTTTAGGCTTATCTAGTCACTAATTATGCTTATCTTAACACTTTTAGGCATGATATGGTCCAAACTTCCAACCGCATTTGAATGGTGGGAAGTCGAGATATTATTCAGAGTGACGGGGCGCGGAAGGATAGGAGCGGATGGGCTGGTATGGCGAAAATGCGGATAAATGGTTATCATGATGATAAGTTACATCTTTTGTTTTGTTTAGGCGTTCTGGTTTACGGAGCAGAAAGGTGTGGAAGGACCAGTATTCGGAACGTCCGATAAATGGGTCGGGCTCGGTGTCCTCTTCGACACGTTCGACAACGACAACAAGCACAATAATCCGTACATCATGGCCATGGTCAATGACGGCACGAAGGCGTACGACCACCAAAAGTGAGTCTGGTGTAATAAGCGGAAGTGTGAACTGTTTAGCAGACGTGTGGGAAATAGTTTGTAAAAATACAGTATTTTGAGCTCCGTTGTTCCCAGGGTTTGGATTTCCGGGACTGTTACACCCACAAAAAGAGGAGGATCTACATGGGAATACAAGTCATGCGAAAATAAGGCTTTGTGAAGAAATTAACTATTTATCGCTGTCAAAATGCTTTATTTTTACAAAATCGTGAGAACAATGTATTTTGACAGCGATAAAAAGTTAAATTTCTTCAGGAAACATGTATTTTCGTATGACTGTTGTATTCTTCATGCAAATTATCACGTTTTTGGGGGTGTAACAACCCCGGAAATCCAAACACTGGGAAGAACGGGGCTCAGAATACTGTATTTTGACAAAATATTTTGTACCCAATTTCTAAATAGGAATTTTTTTAATTGCTAATTTTAACCCATAATTTATTTCCAGTGACGGCTCCACCCAACAATTGGCCGGATGTTTGCGCGATTTTCGTAACAAACCGTTCCCCGTGAGGACGAAGGTCATGTATTACAAGAATGTCCTCTCGGTATGTGACCAGACCTTAACTCACACGTTATCCCGACACTTGACAAACCTTAATTTGTACCCTTTGTTTGGTTAGATATTCATCAACAACGGGATGTCCAACAGCGACACGGACTATGAACTTTGTCTCCGCGCGGAAAATGTGTTCCTCCCGAGTCGCGGATACTTTGGTCTCTCCGCCGCCACAGGAGGACTTGCTGGTGGGTTGGGTAGGGAATTATCGGGGGTGTTATTTCTTGTTATACAGTGACCTGCATGGATTTTGGGTCATTGTTTCATTTTACAAACCAGTTTTTGCATGAATAATGCTTGTTTTATAGGAATAATTCTCTAAAAAAAATAAGAATTCGATTAATTAATCCACATCATAATTAATTAACGGGCTAATTTTACCTGTATGGATTTTGGGTAATTGTTTCATAGATTTTCCACTAATTGTTCGCTGATTCTCTAAAAATTATAAAAATTCGACCAATTGATCCAGTCTATCAATCATGCTAATTAGTTAACTGGTTAATTACCTGTATGGATTTTTGGCCATTGTTTCATTTTACAACCCAGTTTTTCTTTATGAATTGCTCGCTGATTCTGTTCAAACATAAAAATTCTATTAATTGATCATGCTAATTAGTTACTTCGCTAATTGTTAGATGATCACGACGTTCAAAAGTTCATGACGTGGAGCCTCCTCCTCGACTCTGCCACGTACGGCGACGTGACCGCCGAACAGCAAAAGTTTGACCAAGAGTTCAAGCAATATCAAGACCAGTTGGATAAGAAGAAGGAAGAGTGAGTAGAAATTTTCGTCAAATTAATGTGGTCCTTAATTTGCATATTATTCTACTTCCTGTCATCTCAGGTATCACAAAGAGCATCCCGACGCCAAGAAGGAGAAGGATGACGACGACTGGTTTGAGGAGGAGCAGATTCGCGAACTCCGCCAAATCTTTCAAGGCCAATCTGAACTGCGGGGACTGGTGCAAACGTTGAGCAGGAAGTTGGACGAGATTGTAGGCCGACAAGAGACAACGATTTCGCTCGTCAGTTCATTCCAAGGACAGGGAGCGATTGGTCATATTCCTCAAGGTCAGAAAGGAGAAGAAATTTTTGGGGAAATTTTGTTATAAAAATTTCAGTCAAACCTTTCATCGTTTTTAGTGTCAATTTTCTGCTAAAAATTCGCAAGCTAATCATTTACTTCGTAATCACAGGTCAAATTCCAATGCAGCCACCAGCGGTTGGAGGTGGAGGCATGGCGCGTCACGAGGTGGACAACATGCTCGCGGCGAGTCGAGAACTATTGACGTCGACGAGAGACATCAAGTAAGTCGTAATAAATATGTAATAAAATTCTGTGAATATCGACGCGGAAATCCTCAATTCGTGCCATGTTTGCAATTCGATGCGAATTTCACTTATCAAAACTGTTAAAATTTTCAAAACCAAATCTTTACCAAGTTCTTCTAGTGTAGAATTTTTCAAATTTTGAAAATCTGTGTCTAAACATTTTTAATTACTCTCATGATTTCAGAACCCTCTTGCAAACAATGTCCGCCAATAATGGGGGCAAACCTGCCAGCTATGGAAATATAGACATTACCGGATCAGTCAACGAGGTTATTATCATCGTCACGCTTATCATTACAACGTTACCTTATCCGTTATTAACTCTGTATTATTACAGCTTAAGGACGGGATCAACACTCTCAAACGTGACGTGTCCGCCGTGTCGCAGCGCGTTCATTCGGCCCCCGTGGGGACCGGAGCATCCGGTCAGATGGGAGGCTGTCCGAGCTGCGTCTCCACCACGGTCGTCGTCGCCATGGGCTTCGTCCAAATGGGCGTCATCCTCGGCTACCTTTTGTACAAGTCGAGCAAGGAAAATCAAGCCAAGAAATTCTATTAAGCCAAGACTATTTTTAATCAGCTATTAATTAGTTAACTAATTAATTAGGCAATTAATTTGTGTACTTAATTAATCGAGAGGCACTGGCGACGCGACGTAACGATTATGATTCTTCATCATTTTTTTATCAGTAGTGTAAAATTTTTGCTGTTTCCGTTCTTTTTTTGTGATTTTTTGATTTGACTGAAGTAACATAAGATACATAGAATTATCTTGCGATGCGGTAGCTATAAATGTTAAGATACGGTATAAGATAAGCTACATAATTATTAAGATAAGGTTAAGCGCAGATATTGTAACAATCAGTTGCAAAATGAAGGGAGTTCACCCAATCATCACATAAACTAGAAGCTGGGACTGAATTTCTTCTTATAAAATGAGAGGAATTTCGACCAGTTGTTAGTTAATTGCATTTCAATTAGGATAATTATTTAGTTAATTAATTAATTAATCCATTCTCGTGCTCAGTACATAAATATAATTGGGATAAATTAGAGGAAAGATCTTAAGTATTTGCGATCTTCATTAGGTAATTACAGTCCCGCTCAAAATATTCTTTAATTTGATAAGTGTAAATGTAATTAAATGTATATTAAATTAATTAATTGGTAAATATGCTAATTAGGAATTATTTATAATTTGCATAAATATTTACGGAGGAGAGTATACTTCCAGTCAGAATTGTGTATTTAATTACTTTTTAATTAAATTATATAAATGAAGGAAGGGGTGCATGCTGCATTTTGTTTTATTTTTTATGGTGGTGTGGTGCTTAGTTATTTTAATTGAGGAGATAATTCAGGTAAATATAAGTATAATTAATTAGAAATATTTAATTGTAATTAATTAATTTCTGGGACAGAATCTAATCGAATCCAATATGGGCAAGTTAAACACGATATTATAAATAATTGCATGCAAAACAAATCATGGTTGTTGTAAAAAAAATGTCGAGATAGTTTTAAGAGTAATTAGTTAATTGTGAGGCTATATATATAAAATTAAGTTATTGATATGGTACATAAGCAGGGACTAAAACTTTAGAATTTGCATAATGTGGAGGCGGGCAATTATAAATTAGATTTAACTAATTAAATAATTAAAATGAAATTAAGAGACTGACGACTGGCTCATCAGTTTTGCTAATTAATAATTCTGTATCAATTTAAAATTCAAAATTGTCACGACTTTTGTCCTGCATTTTCCAAGAGTAAGATTTTTAATCCAGTTAAATTTACAGTTAATGTTTAACCTTTTCTGTGCATAATAATTAATTCATATTAATTATGTACATATATCAAGATAAAAGCTGAATAAAAATGTGACGTGATGACTATAAAATTATGGAAATTATTCTTAATATGCAAATTTATGTCAAAATGTCATTACAAATAAAATACTGCGAAAAAACAGCGTCCTCGTCACTTTCATCAATAGTGACTAACCTCTCGTATAAAATATGTAGATTATCCATGCAAATTTATGCAAATTTATGACAAAATTTCATCACAAGTAAAATAATGCAGCTAAAAAACAGCGTCATTGTCACTTCTTTCGTCAACAACCCTTTCTGAGCTTTCACAAATTCATCATATTACATGATGCATATAAAATATGTAAATTTTATCACATTATGCAAATTTATTTCAAAATTTTTAAAAATATTTTCACAAATAAAATACTGCCAAAACATATCGTCATCGTCACTTTTTTCGTCAACAACGGTCTCTCCGCCGCCGACTGACCTCTCACAAATTCACCCCCCTCGTCTCCCCCTTCTCCCCCATCGTCATCCTCATGGAGCGACCTCTCCCAGTCGGCCACCTGCTCGGAAATCATGCCCAGCACGCGGGTCGCGTTCTCATTGCAAAAATCCCTCCCACATCCGCAAACTATGGCCGAAAAGAAGTCAATCTTTGTCCTCGATTCATCCAGCAACGTATCTCGGCCATGAATCCAGTTGTGTTTCGCCAAATCGGAGAAGTCGATACATTTCTGACCGCGGGGAAAGTCGTCACGACATCGGCGAAAGAGGCGCAGCGTGGAGAAAGAATTCCCATACGTGGTGGAGGTAAAGATCACTTTGTACGCCTCGATTTTACAGCCTATTTATTTAAAAAAATACGAAAAATGGAGGTATGCTCTCCGATTTTGAGGGAACTAGTGTCAATTGATGACAAATTTAATCAGTATGAAATTTGCGAAAGACACGATTTCTCAATGGGCACGTTTGGCAAAGATATTTTCTCCCGAAGGGGAGAAAACGCGTCTCAAGGTCGACAAATTTTACACTTTCCAAGTTTACGGTTCATTTTCTCCTCTTCGGATGCAAATATCTCTGTCAAACGTGCAATTGTATCATATCTTCCGCAAATTTCATACTAATTAAATTTGCCATCGATTGGCACTGATTTCCCCAAAATCGCATACGCTGGAAGACTTCTATTGTTTGAAACGTCACAATTATCACATTTTAAGGCACATTTTTGTATTAATTATTCTTACCACGTGGACAATCTTCCACATATGGCGACGTATTATTCAGTGCCTGTGCAGAACTCTGAACATTACTTTCGCCCAGGGAAGACTGATTCTTTTCCATCTTTGTTCCTGCCCTCGGCCTCTCGGCGTTCTCCCATCGGCCACAAAGCGGAACTTCGTTGGGCGGATAGAGATGTGGGAGCGGGTCGATAAACGGTGGCGCAGGCGGGATAGAGGAGTGGAGGAAGGGCGACGGCGTATTCGAGGCGGGGGCCGTCGTTGGGTGAAAGTAAGGAATTTCACCGTCCTGAGAAAAACACGAGATGCATTGGACCCCTAAAAAATAGTCAGATTAATGATTTCATGAATTGAAATTGTAAATATGTCGCAGGGGTCACATACCGGAAGTGAGGTCAACATTTGTACACGTGACGAGAAATAAGGTCGTCATTGCAAGAAGGTCCATCATACCGGAAACGTGGCGATTCTTCAGAAAAATCCTGTAGCGTCGTCATCTCTGTGTCATTTGTAAATAGAAATTTTTGAGGGATTAATTTTTGTGTAGATTAAATCACACTTTTTTCTATCGCTGAAAAAACTATAACGACATTTTTGTGGAAAAAATGGAAAAAATTAGCACGCGGCTACTCAAACTCTCCTCCCACTCAGCCTTTTTCCTTCTCCGTGCCTCCATCTCAACACCTCGTCTAATATACTTTCTCCGCTGTGCACCGACATGGAGAAGATTTGACGCCCTTACTCTTTATGATGCCAAATTAAAAAATGCTATGGAGGGAATCATCAACTGTTCCCTTTCCCCTCAATCCTGGTTACAGTCCTCTCTACCCGTCAACAAAGGTGGTCTTGGGGTCAGACACGCTATAGATGTGGCGATTCCGTGCTTTCTAGCGTCTATCTATAGCTCCCTGCCTCTTGCGGAACGCCTACTTCCACCACATTTACATGGCATCGATACCGCCATCCAAGAAGGAGAGGAACGCTGGAAATCACTTGGTTCATCGCCACTTCCTCCACTCGAGATACGAGGTATCCAGGCAATATGGGAAATACCACAACAGGAAGGTGTAATCAATCACCTCACAACTAATGCGACTACATTAGAAGACAAAGCCCGCTATCACGCCATGTCACAACCCAATGTTGGAGCGTGGCTCAACGCTATCCCCTCTCCTCAACTCGGCACACATCTTCCTAATGAGACGTTTCGCATCGCCGCCGCTCTTCGACTAGGCTGTGACATCTGCCAGCCCCACAAATGTTCTTGTGGTGAACAAGTGTCCACGAAAGGCTATCATGGTCTCAGTTGCAAAAATAGTGCTGGACGTCACTCCCGTCATGCCGCAGCCAACGATGTCATCGCCAGAGCCCTCAGATCTGCAGGAGTCCCTATAATTAAAGAGCCAGCCGGGTGTGCCCGTGAAGATGGGAAACGTCCAGATGGTCTCACACTTATTCCATGGGCAAGAGGAAAATCGGTAGTGTGGGACTTCACGTGTTCCGATACATTTGCACCATCGTACCTCCCACAAACTAGTATTCGCCCAGGAGTAGCAGCTGAGAAAGCAGAGGACCGGAAGAAGAAAAGATATGAACAACTTATGGACAGTTTCCTTTTTGTCCCAATAGCCATCGAAACAACAGGGATTTGGGGTAAAGATGGCTTGTCATTTATTAAAGAAATCGGGTCCAGAATCACAAACATCACAGAAGAGAAGAGGGCGACATTCTTTTTATTGCAGAGAATGAGTATCACTGTTCAAAGAGGGAATGTAGCATCCATTTTAGGATCCCTTCCAAAAGGACACAAGCTGGAGGAGATATTTATGTTATAAAGAATTTCATTTATATATCTATTGTAGTTATGCTAATATTATGGATGTAATAAGGAGCAAACATATTAAAATTTGATGATTTTACATCTCTACATATTTCAAAAAAATAAAAAATGCTTTCCAACATTTTTGTCGTTAAAATTGACGCCAAAGTCACCTATTACGCCATGAATTTTAATTCCTAAAACTAAAATTTCCTTCTAAAAAGAATATATTTCTATAATAGAAATTCTATTTATGATGCATATAATAATGAGCATTTTGTGTTTTAATTTCTTTGTAACTGACGAACAACGGCTTGTGTTTCGCGTCTTGCGGGTTTGTCATTTGTTGCAATTCTTGCAATCCAAAGCAAGCCAACGCAAGAAAATTTCTTGAAGGTGCAAGAAACTGCATGAAAGTGCAGAAAAGTGCATAAGAAAGTGCAAAAACGTGCAAAAAACTGCTAAAAGTACAAGAAATATGCGCCATGTAGCCACGCGTCTTATGAAGTTTGCGCTGCGGGGTGAAATTTCTTGCGCCTCGCCTTTCTCACAGGCCAAAATATTTCCCTGCAAGAAACCACTTTCTTCCCGTTATTTCTTGCACCTGAAACACTGCGTTTAGCATCGATCGTCATCATTGTCATCAAAACCATACTACAATGTAAAGAAATTCGTGCGTATGTAAAACTTACATACGCACGAATTTCTTTCATGTTTATTTCCCAATGAAAGTTAAGGCTTGCCATTTTATTTCTGCAAATAACGACATGAAATCAAGGGCATTTAAACCTTTAAATATAGCAAATTTTGTACATACCCATATTTTAAATATCAATTTTTAAATACCCTCACAATCTCCATCACAAAAAAACAAAAGACTTTTAAAACTAGAGTACAATGCAATGCTCACTTGTTACACAGCACTAAAAATTAAAATAACAGCCTCCTCCGAATTCCAGCACCCATACGTAGAAATTACGCAACATATTTGAAATCGTGTACATATTCGCAAATAGCTAAATTCGAAATATGACGCTTAAAAAATTTACATGGGGAACTATTTTCGTGGTCACCCTCATTTTTAACCTTATACACGGAAGTAGCATTGTTTTTCGAAAGGTAAACCCAATTTTAAAATTTTGAAAAATTTCGAAAGATTACGAAATGGGACGTTGGTAAACTTCATAACGCAAGAATGGTCAGGGCTCAGTGATATCGTGACACATGTTAAAAGGGTGTCCAAAAAGGGTGTCCAAAATTAGCGTTATGAAGTTTACGAACATCCCTAGATACCTCGCATTTTGACAAATTTTAAGCATTTTAAGTAGAAACGTGCCAGGGATGATGGAGATAGTTACGGTGGTGACACTGAAAGTAAAAAAGCTCCCTTTGATACAAAACCGTTCACCAGCTTTGGCAAAAAGTAGGTCCAAATACTCAAAAATGGCGATCTTTCAGCGTATATGCTCTCCGATTTTGAGCAAATTAGTGTCAACTGATCGCAAATTTGGTTAATATGAAATTTACAAAAGACACGATCTCCCAATGGGCACGTTTGGCCGAGATATTTGCATCCGAAGAGGAGAAAATGTGCCTTAAAGTTGACAAATTTTGCACTTTCTGAATTTACTGCGCGTTTTCTCCTCTTCGGATGCAAATATCTCGGCCAAACGTGCCCATTAGGAGATCGTGTCTTTCGCAAATTTCATCCTAATTAAATTTGTGATCGGTTGACACTAATTTGCTCAAAATCGAATAGCATATACTCTGAGAGTCCTTCATTTTGAGGCAAAGTTGACCTAAATCCTCCTGTTCTGTTCATCTTCAGGTGGTGGGAACCGACGTGGTGGACATGGGCGAGGTGATGGATCCGGATCTGGGGGTGGCCGCGGAGGAAACGGAAGTAGAAATGGTTCCGGATCCGGATCCGGAGGCCACAGAAACGGAAGCGGTCGACAATCTGGATCTTCTTCCGGAATTGATGGCTGGGGCTCCTCCGATACGCGTAGCGGCGGTGGCGGTGGATCCGGCGATCGTAGAGGGTCCAAACCCAAAAATGACGATAGTTCGTCCTCCGCCTGGGGAGGGAATAAGAATGCGGACGACGACAAGTGGGGTGGCCCTACACCTCTCGACGAAGTGCCGAAACTGGGTCGCTCCCTCGCCGCCAAGAAAGAGGCGCAAGACCAACGCTCCCTCACGAAAGATGACGACGGCTTATCGACAACGCCACCCAATATTGTAGCAGGACTAGCCACGCTTAATAAAGTGGTTGAGGTGCCCCGTCAGCCGACAAACCCACCAAATCCGTCGTAAAAAATACATGTGAAAAAGCAACCAATAAATTGTTTAAGATCAAAATCCATTTCAAATCAGTACAAATGCAGATAGATTCTTTCCTATAATTTGCATATTAGTTTCTAATTGCATGCTAAAATTCTAATTCTACCAGAAAATCAGATTTTCATAAAAAAAAACTATGCTAAAACCAACCAATAAATTGCAATCGATTCCAAATTAGTATCAATCAGTATATGATGATCAGCATACGTCGGATATGAATGAAAAATGACTTTTTCCATTTATTGACCTACAGTCGCCAAACTTTCTGATAATGTTTACGGTCACGTAGGTCAAAGCATATTTTCTCATATTTGTCATATTTTCGTATTTTAGGACATATTCATATTCCCGATCATATTTCGGGGTTTTTTCGTTCATTTTATCATTTTTGGCCAAATTCTAAGATTTGGCAATCAAATCGACAGAAAATGACAAACAATTCAGTTTTCTCACAATGATTCATTGTGAGAAACTTTCAGAAATTTACTTTCACTTTCGCCTAAGGTGATTTAATTCATTGGGAATGCATTAAATCACCCCAGAACTTGTTTATTTGATAAAAAATGAGCATTACAAGAAAATATATCAAGAAATTAAGCCAAAAATTTAAAAAATAAGGTCATTTTTATGCTCATATTTTGGGGATTTTTACGGTCATTTTTCATTCATATTTTGAGGTTTTATCGGTCATTCATATCCGACGTCTGATGATCAGTATCAAAATGGATAGATTGTTTCCCATAATTTGCATATTATTTTTCAATTTGCATAATTATTTAAACCAGACCACATAAAGTTGATTAACTAACTAACTACACATTTTCTAATTCCGTGCTAAACTTCTACCAGAAAAAGATACATATTTCACGCGATATTTGCCTAAGATACTAAGGTCCAAGATAACAAGTTATCCATTGCTTACATATTTATACGTAGTTTTTTTAAAACTACATACAACATACATATTAAATTTTTTAACTGACGAATAATAATCAGATCACAAGTCGTTTATATTATTGATTATATAATTAGCTACAAGACGAGACTATACTTGAAGTGAGTTAGTTATGTGCTGTGCGAATGGAGCTAAACTCACGAGAAACCCTAGTCTCAGCACAAGGTACTTCAGGAGGCCGTAGGTTTAAGCTCCACCCGCACAGTACATAACTCGTTCACTTTATGTATAGTTCCGAGGCTGGATTGGAAATTGGAATGTTTCTTGGAGGAATAATTTCAGCATGATGAACAAGTAAATAGGATAAGATCTTATCGAAACTCTTCCGGATTGAACATTCCTCTCGCTCGGCGGAGAATGGAATCTTTCGTGGGATCGTAGGGATGATCTTTCGACGGGATTTCTAACACGGCCGGGACAGGATTTGTGTGACTGTCGATAACGTGACGGATCATTTCTGCGATCTGGAGGTTGATAAATATAATGAGCAATTAGCTAATTAATTCGCCAAGACCAAGAGAATGTTTAATAATATTAATAACATTACATTTTGACTTATCAAAATAATGTCAATGTCATCCCGGCGGATAAACTTTTTGAAAGTTTCTTCAATCTCAGATACACTTGTGTCTAAGGCAAGAAGATGAATAATACAATAATTAGCAAATTGAGCATTAAATTGAATAATAATTTGAATTTTTTCAAAATATCTGCTCACTCTTATCCACCACCATAAAGTTAGGCTGCCGATTCTTATTAATTTCACCGATGCCACCAAGCAGAAATCCAACGCAGGTGTCCTGTCAGATAATAATGAGTCGATGATAAGCCCACAAATTTTAGTGCCAATTAACAGCATGTTAAATAATTAGAAAAAATAACTTTCAACGATTTATTTTATTTACCTCGTCGCCAATTACTGCGATAAGTTTCCCCTTAATGGATGAGTGCATCGTCATCTTGGCGACGTGATTTATATAATGACGCCCTTAATTTTAACTGAACAATTAAAGTTGGTTGGTAATAATAATTTGGACAATTATCCAGCCTCGCCCAAGAAAGTATGATATTATTATTCCTATACCAGTTCAATATTCGCGGCGAAGGAAGAGCAAGATTTAGCCAACCAGTTCAGCTTTGTAAGCATTTTTGCATGCATTTTTGCATGAATCTGTGCATGATTTGCGCATTAATTTTTGCATGAATGTTTGCATTAATTTTTGCATGAATTTTTGCATGAATTTTTGAAAAGTTACTAATCCTCATTTTACTAATCCTAAGCAAAAGAATGTGTTTGTGTATGATTTTGTTTAAATCGTTCTAACTTTTTGTATTATTTACTGGTTAGTAAAATACTTGTTGTTAGTACTTTATAAATTGATTTGTCCATCCGTCCGTCCTTCTGTAAGTACATTTCAATACTAAATATTAAATTTTAAATTCTTAACTACACAAGTAAATATTTATTTTAAATTTAAATTAATAAATATCATATAAATCAACATTCGATAAATCTCTTTCAAACTTTAAATAATACATTACTATGATTTACTAGGAAAACCACATCTAACTTGCAATTTTAAGAATTTTCAATCATTACAAAATCTCATATCGGCGTTTATGTCATGATAATCTATTTATTATTTTCCTGCATTTCCTTACAATCCTAAACAATAAACAAATTGCGCGTCTGGAGATATCCATCATGACAAAATTTTGCATATTGATACCACATTTTGACGAATAAATCCCGAGCAAAATTTAATTTTAGAAATAATTTCTTGATATCCATTCCTTCCTCAATGTTGTTATAGTTTAAGTCCAACTAACTTTGCGTCCAGTCAGTTCATGGCACAGTCAGCAGTATATTTGTAGAATCAATGCAGTTTTCATGTAATTTTGATTTTCTGCTGGTAAAATAGTACTCAATTTTGATACTGCGTTTGCATCTGGTCCAGTTTTAAGATCATGTTTTAAACTTGAATGTACAATATGCAATTAATTAAATCACGCCGTTAAGTATTTCTAAATTTGGGGAATTTATCACGTCCACGTCAAAAATGTGTGTACATGCAAAAAAAACTTATAAAGTTGGATAACAGATTCCATGTTTTGTCACAAAACTTTTGTGCGTTGTCGTGATTTAAATGCTGAATGAAATTTTTGTGTAATTTTGATTGTTTTTTACTGATAAACCAGGAACCAATTTTGTTTGTGAGGAAGATTCGAAACCGGTTAAATTTTATAGATGATCTTCTAGTCGTAAGCTTTTTTCATGTTCAATTTTTAAATATTTCTCAATTTGGAAATGTATCAGTTCGACGTCAAAAATGTGTATAGGCAAAATTGGGTCTTCGTTTAAATATAAACAGATCTATCTTGCGTTTCATAATCATGATATAGAGGGTTAATGTAATTTTTAAGCAATTTTGATTGTCTGATGATAAAAAAAGAATGAAATTCTGCTTATGAGAGGACCACGTCTAATTCTGGTCCAGGTTTACGATCCATTTTTTAAACTTTTTAATGTACAATTAACTAAATACACGCTGTTAAATATTTCTCGATTTGGAAATATATCAGTTAGACGTGAAAAGTGTGTGTATGTAGAAACAGTGGTATGCGAAGAAATCTTCATCATAAGTCGATCATTATTTAGAAATCCAACGCAATTTTTATGAAATTCTGTTTTTTGCCAAAAAAATAGAGTACAATTTTATAGGACATCACATCCGCATCAGTCCAGTTTTAAGATCAATTTTTAACATTAAATATTCAATTGATTGACTGCACGTTGCTATTTCTCAATTAAAAAATGTATCAGTTCGACGTCAAAAGTGTATGTGCAAAAACGGTAATAAATAACATATGCCACGCTCTCTGGGGTTGCAGACACTGTGTCTGAGACACATTATTATATGCATCAGTTTCACGTGAAAAATATGGGTATTTGTAAAAAGGGGTTACAAATTTGGTTAAATCTTCATTTGATAAATCATAATTAAGAAGTCAATGCTACTTGTATTTTCATGCAATTCAGACTTCCTGCCGGATAAAGCAATATGCAATTTTGTTTCTGGGAGGATATGGGATTCTCATTTATTCCAGTTTGACTATCCATTTTATAGACGTTTTAAGGTACATTTAATTAAATTCACACTAAAGTAATTAATCACTTGAGCACTTTTTGTATACAAGTCACACATAAATATATCATAATGCAGAACTGATTGAGAGAAAAATTGCGTAAAAAATAGTCTAAAAATTAGAAATTAAATTGCCCCCCCAAAGGGGGCGTGAAATGGTTAGGTATTAAGTTTATTGAAGTGTTTGATGATGCTCAAAGGGCAGTTTCAAGTGTCATGAAATCTTCTTGGTTTAGCAATCTCTAAACTAATCCTAAGTTCTAAAACTCTAAATTGTTTGCGAATTTGTACGAAAAGTATTTATACTTTAAAAAATCGGGACTTATTTCATTACAAATAATCAGCTTTAGGGAAAAAACTTCAAATTACCCGGTATTAACCTTAGATCGGGCTACCATAAAATAGCTAACGATCCATATTACTACTGACAATATTAAGAACTTAATCCTAGAAGTTTCTCCAATGGAATAAAATCCAACTACTTTAACGACATGATAGTACTTCAAAGGCCTTGGTGCTGCATTAATTATAGGCACGTCAAACTCATCAGACCCATACGTTTTCAATCGGTAGCACCAATAAACCATCTGGATCACTGCAGTAAGTATTTTAAAGGATACAAAGTCTTGCATGACTATATCCGTCATTACAGCCAGTTTTGCCACCCACCCAGCAGCAATTTTACTTCTAGCAATTATTGTACTACCAACAATATATTTGAGAGTTAGGGGTCCGTGAAAGTGCCATTGAAGTCTAAAAACGTCCCCCATGACCCGACTGATCTGGAATCCTCCTGCCTCCAAGATGTTATACACCGTTTGGGCACAATTGCCCCTACTCAGCATGTACGGAGTGTTTTTAATGTGCTCCCATTCTTTCATCATTTCTTCATAATTTAGCTTTATATCTTCCGGAAATAATATTACGCTGTTGGGGTAGCGTCCTTCTTCGCGAATATCGTCCCCCAAAGTGCGTTCAATATTACGCCGCATGGGTTTGAGAATTGCCTTGATAGTGGTTTGATCTTCATTACTAGTAGGCCATCCACTAATATAGGCACGATTAACCAGGAGCAGTGATGCGTGCCCAATTAAACCCCTTTCGGGTTTCCAATTGAGCAGGGCTGTTTGCGACTTCCTGAAAAAATGTTACAATTAACTAGCGTATAAGCCCGTCTAACGCCGGGCGATGGAGAATTATTAGCAGGAAATATCCCTCGGCTACGGATGCGAAAGTAAAGAAAGTCAAGTTTCTAATGGTGCGAAAACTCAAATCAATTAAATGTCTGATGTCCCAAGCTATATAAGCACCCCAGGATTACCACCATCAGACATTTAAATCACTTTTTAAAATTTAATTTATTTTGAATTTTCGTCCCATTCGAAACTTGACTTTCTTTACTTTCACTATATTTGCTCTCACTTCCGTTGCCGACAGACATTTCCAGTTTATAATATAAGATTATGATTTAGTTCCGGCAAAAATGTACTTTGCAATTTTCATACCAATCTTGTGGCGATTTAATCTCCGTCCCTGTTACGTTGTCCACGAAAGGTAAGATCGCCAATTGGATCTCATTTTGATCATAAATTGTAAATGGCTTTTTTCTTTAAAAATAAATTTCATAAAATTTTTAAAAGTTGTGCATTATAAACGTTAAGGGCCCGGGGGAAGATTTACTTGATTTTATGTTAGCAACAATAATTGCCAGGGCCCCAAGATTATTATCGCTCTGTTAGGTTACGACCACAATTAATTGACACCGTTTCTATGGGACACTCACGTTCAAAAGCTTTGGTTTTGTCACTGCTTTTGAAAAAGTTTCCCTCAAGTCCCTCAAGTTTTTGAAAAAAGTTGTTTCTTTTGTTCCATGGATACTCAAAATGCAATTCCTGCCATTAATTTGGCAATTCTAAGCCAATTTGTCCTCACTTTACGACCAAATATCTCCACTGCACAAGAGGGCAGATCGTCAAAAAAAACTCAAGTAAAATCTAAAGATATGATTAACGCATTAAACATAATTTAAAAAATCTGCCCTCTTGTGCATTGCTGAATTTTATCGTCAAAGTTGACGTGATTTCTAAGCAACTTCCCCCAGGCCCTTAAGTCCATAAATAATTAAATTAATTACATTTGGAATATTGTCCTCGTATCCCAGGCGAATATTATAATTAAAAATCCCTTCAATACCACCCGTATGAACGATTCGAAGCCCAAATCCTTCTGATTGTTTTTATTTAACCCAAACATATACACGATAGCGATTGAGGCACGTAGAGGAAGGTTAAGATATTCATCGAAAACGAGTTCCAAGAAAGAAGGTATCGCGAAGAACATGATGAATCCAGCCAATAAAACTGCACCCCGTGTCAGGCAGGTCATTAAAATGGTATGAGTCTCCCTTGTTAATATCATTTTGAATGTTTTGACTCAAGACACTGATAAATATAAAAATAAATTAAGCAATTATTACAAATGTATGTGCTGCTATTAAATGCAAATTACCTTTCCTATTATTGTCGGCTAACGTTGTAATATTCTGAAGTGTAGAGTAGATAATAATATAAGTTTTCCAAAATAATTTTGCAAAATGAAAGAGCCAGAGTAGAGAGAATTTCTCTCGGAAGTTTGTCATTTCGTGAGCCAGAGGAAGCAGATGTAATGTGACTGAATGTCCACTGCACTGATCGTCCTAACGACTATGCCAAATGCCTAAATTGTCTCACCCTTTTATCTCTCCCCTTATTACATCTAAGCACAGAGTTGGATATTAAGGAAGAGGGATTTACTTGTGCAGAGGAGATTAGAGTAAAGCCGGACATGGTTTGAGACACAATTTAACTGCATCAACCCTTACTTAAAAGAAAAATTTAAAAGTCATGAGCCCTCAAACCACGTGGTGTATTGTTCCTATTTTTCGTTTTGCTGTTTAATTAAAAAATACACTTCAGAATTTTTAGTAATGTTAAACTTCGAAATTTTAACTTTCATGTCCATTAAATTTTTAACGCGTTATCGATTCTCCACAATTATTCAATTTCTTCGTTCAAATCTGGCCATGTTTTCTCGGAGTAACTCCCTCTACCTAAATAATCAAACTCTGTGAAAACTCATATTAATCTTATTAAAATTTATGTATATTGTCCTTCCCTTACTGCTATTAGTGCCCATCAAGCTACATGAAATCCATCCTAATAAAAAGGCGATCCGCAAGAATAAATTGGCCAAACTCGTTTCACATTTGCACTTGCCACTCGCAGTGGCCGCGGAAGCCGGGGGTACATCTGAGGACATTTAGAGGAATATAAGATGGGCGGATAATGCGGACATTGAACAACCATGGGGACATTGTCCCTTTGTCCCTACGCTTCCCCGGCCACTGGCCACTCGCACGTTCCATTCAAATCCTTTGACCTATAGCTGAGGAAGGCCGAGTGTACTGTACAACCCCTTTTCGCCTCGATGTCACCGAATTTCGCATAAAAAATTGGAACCTTATATTTTGGTGAAAGGATCAATATAACGTAGCTATTATTAATTTATATGCAACCACACCCCCTTCAAAAATTGCGGAAGAAAATTGGGAAAAGTGAGAAAATAAATGTACACTCGGTACAAAAAGATTTAGACCCCAAGTTGCATTTGACATTTGACTTCCCCCTTGAATACGAACATTTTGATGCATCAAGAGTTTCAAAATTCGAAAATTGGCGGTTTTTTCACATACACATAAATCGTTAAAAAAATCATGGTAGCGGCCATTTTTAGTCTGACAACCTGATGCCAGATTTTTCTTCATGAGAAGAGCTACATTTTCAGCCTTGGTTGTCCGACTAAAAATGGCCGCTACCATGAGTTTTTTGGGGTCAAAGTTTCTGGGGGAGGCGCTTCATAAGGCAAGAGCCGTAGCAAGGCAGCTTATGCAATAATGACATGTATATAATAAATAGCCAAAAAATTTAAAACTTAAGCTTTTCTGAATATATAATGATAATGTGCACTCAAATTTTTACGCTACAGTGCTTATCAGTGTACTTATCAATTTCTAAGATAAGCAAATTTAGTCTGTCCAAACCGCCCCAAATTTAAAACTTAAGCGTTTCTGAATTTATAATGATACTATGCACTCGAGAATTAACGCTACAGTGCTTATCAGTGTACTTATCAATTTTTAAGATAAGCAAATTTAGTCTGTCCAAACCGCCCCAAATTTAAAACTTACGCGTTTCGGAATTTATAATGATACTATGCGCTCGAAAATTAACGCGACGATGATGATGGCGACGAAAGTGGGGGTGGCGGTGGTGGCAGGGGTGCAATGGGGGGTGGTGGTGGAGGTGGCTGCTCGCTGGGGGAGGAGTAATCCTCCATGGTGCACTTTTTAAATATTTTATTAAAAATTCGCACGTTTTTTTTATTTTTATTTGAAAAACTGGAGAGTTTAAAACGATGAACCAACTCGTGTGAGAGATGAAAAGCATCTCAACACGAGTTGGTTCATAATCCCGGCACTGTCGCAACGAGAGCCAGCGGTGGTGGTGGATACCCACCAGAGTCTGATTCTCGCTCTGCTTTTTGCTTAATATGGAAAAGCGTTTTGTAGTACAGTTGGGCTGGTTTCTTCCAGTTTCTTATATACAGTGTATGAATTCGTATCGTGGAGAATGTTGAGTCACATCTGGTAAGTTGCAGGACGTCGTTCAAGGTTCTCCACGAATTCATACACTTACTCTTCAGATTTAGTCCAGTTTTGTTTGATCATTACATAAAAACTAACCTCTTAAATATTTTGAATTTGTCTCTCCAGCAATTTTTTACCATATTTTTCTAATTAAAACATGCACACAGTTCAAGATTTATACTCCAGAATTACTATATAATAATATATTCATCCCCGGTTATTTGGCTTTAGAGGTGTAGACACTTTTGTGGAAATTGAAAGGAGTATTACACGCTGCCGATAAGGAATAAAGAATAAAATGAATACACACTGTAAGCAAAAAAAACTTTCAAAACATACACTCTTAGAAATTCAGTATTAAAATAATACGAAGCGGTATTCATATATGACTACCAACGTGGTGTCAATACGTAATACCGCGTGGTAATTGCTCGGTACTAAAGCTTTACCATGTCGGTAATAAATTTTTGCGATTGGCACAATTTTAGTATGTACTAAGCAGTAGCAACCGAGAAATCAATACCTGCCTGACTACATATACCAGATTTCTAACAGTGTACGCGTACGCGTATGTCTTCTTGCCGATGAGTTCTAAATGAAATGAAGATGAGTTGACCTTTAATTCGCTATAACTAGTCGCCCACTGATGAAAAATTGAATTTATAAGTATTTTTGGACTCCCAGATAAATTTAGGATGAAATGGTGCAAGTTTCAAATAATTACAAACCTTTCAGCTTTTTTAATTTGAGACCAGAGTGTACATAAATGATTTGTAAATGAGTTATAAACAAAATTTGAAAGAACATATACGACCTTCCCCTTTTTTGTGGGCACAAAAAATGCATAACTTTGGGAATTTATTTCAATGAAAGTCCATCGAGCCGCATCTCAAAACTTTTATCATTACTAGTACCAGTATTGATAATTACAATATAAAAAAATTGAGGTGCGGCTCGATGGACTTTTAGAGGAATGAGCAAAATCCCAAGAGGGTTTTTTATGAAATTTTGCGAAAATCCATGCAAAAAATTGTCACCACGTCGCTACGTTCGGGTTGCCAACCAGGATTCTTCAATCACTAACGGCTACGCCGGTGTTTCTGGGTTCGGCCGTAACTCGGAAAAAAATGGAAATTTTCATTTTTTGAAAAGCTGGATATTATAATATCCAGCCTTGTGTATCCATGTGTCTGTCTGTCTGTCTGTTCATAAATTCCATAAATTCATACTTTTACGTAAACTGCTTGTGCGTTACAATTTTACTAACGTAGAACTAAATAATAAATTAAAATACACAATAAAACCCTACAGTGCAGGCAGACTCCATATAGCCAAGTCAGGGACAGAGTCCTTTGAATTAGAGTTCTAAATTTTTCTCTGAATTGACCGACATAATATTACCAAACTCCTTGTTTTGGATAATTAAATGTTTGTTAGATTTTCTATTATTTGGCATAAAAACCTTTTGAACTTCCAAAGCTAGGTGTGCTATCGAGAAGTTGTTTTTATCCCCCATACCAAATTTCAGATGGAAACAACTTTTCAAAACGGTATCGGTCAGCCTCCAGGGTCACTCTGCTTGCAGTTTGCTCACTTTTAACTTCATATTCATTCATAAGAAACCATTAAGTATCACCATGCCCGATTTAATGTTTTTAAAGCAATTTATAAAAATCTGGATGGGTCACCCGTCACCCCATAGAGTCGCTACAGATAAAAATTTTACCAATTTCATTCCATATTCTTCCATTAAGACATGTAAGCAACATTTCAGCTGGATATGACGATTTCGAAAAATCAGTATTCCAATTCTAAATATCCAATATACATTAGGCATGATTGGTCAAGTGGTTGGTCGGTGGGGGTCATTCAACTAACAATGCGATAAAGCTAGCGGTCTCGCTCCAATTTTGACGAAACCACGAAAATTATGTAGCATTAGATAAATCATTAAACACGTGTTTCAGGATTTTTCATAATACTCAGTTTAAACGAAATTATGATTAAGTCAGCGAGAATTTTTATTTTTACCGTGAAATTTTTCTCGCGAGAGGAGGGAGGAAAGTACAGATTCTCAGATTCCATCATACATAATTTTGTTTAAGCTAAAAATTTGTGGGCGTGACGTGTTTTTTCCCCCGCACAAATTTTTAAATTATGATAAATTTTCAAAATTTTGAAAAATGTAACAAACCAAAAATTTTTGAAAAATTAAAAGGTTTTGAAAAAATGATTTTTCGTTTGCACAATGTAATTGTGCAAAAGAATTGGAAAAATTTAAAGCATTGAAAAATTGGAAAAATTTAAAGCATTTAAAAACATCTTGACTTTGGCTGATTTTGGTACAACAGAAGACTTCCGCTAATTTCCTTGTGTCAACAATTTAAAATTGGTCCGGTCAAAATCGGAAAAAACACTTCATGCCCACGCATTTTAAGTTTAAGCAAAATTCTCCGTAAGCGAGAATCTCCCTCGCAAGAAAAATGTCACGCAAAAACGGAAATTCTTGCTCACGGCCTTAAAAGGCCTAATTTTGGTAATAATGTTAACACGTTGTAGGGCATGCCTCGAATCTCGAAAGAATAATAAATAAAAACGTGTACGTAGAAATACTATCATGCAAAATAGAGTAATTAGTCAGCAATTAAAAAATAGGAAAATAGTTTAAAAATTTTCGTCGACCCAGTTATGGCCGCACCCCGAGAGTAAATGGTCCAATTCATCCTCAGAATAATCAGAATACAATAAAATGTGTAATGCACTTGATATCTAATTTATCGCTAATTACTACTCCCCTGACTCGGGCTTCATTGTCAGTGATTGGCAAAATCCACCAAATTAGCAAATAATTAAAAATTTATTCGTTGACTGAGTTACGGCCGCACCCTAAGAGGAAACGAATTGATTCATCCTGGTTGCCAACAACAAAATCATGAAAAAATAAACACTAAAAAACCGACCAAAAACTTCTGAATCTCAATTCGAAAGAAATTTGCCTCAAATTTTAATTCGTCTTATCTGCTTTCAACTTCGAATTTTTGTTTTTTATTTCACAATGCCGTTTATTAAATGCTGCATTTCCACCTGCAAAGCAAAAATCTCTCCGGGAGTTCGACTACAACGGATAGGAGAACCAAAGTTTTGGCCATACTTTCAGGACTTCGTCGAGGATTCGAAAAAGTATTCAAAAACTGATGTCATTTGTGGAAAACATCATGCACAGGTAAATAAATAGTTATACATATCACATAATTATTCGAGTTAATTAATTAAGAATTATTTATTATTAACATAAACATTGATAAACTATGAAATACACTTAGTTGGCTTGGGGAGTAGAGGAAAAACCCGATGTTGGTGGGTTGGGAAAACCTTTACTTGATCCGGATAGGCGTCCGAGATCACCATTCGGCCCCTTACATGATTTTTGTAAATAAAACGACCTATCATTTAAAATATAAAATAATTCTTCTAATCCTCGTTGACTGGGGACAGCTCCCATGATTGATGCCGCATTCCCGCGTTGAACTGCCAAACTAATCCGTTGAATGAGAAAAGTTGTCGACATTGGTCCAGTGACATCCTTCATCCTCCTCCCAACATCTTGGATGAACTTCAACCCTTCCGTCCCCCATACTCCTGATGTCTCGATAGCCACCGGAACAAAGATATAGTTTGTTTTAAGTTCAGAGTACAGTTTGTGTTTTTTGGTCTCGGCTAGTTTTGCTGCTGTGCCAGCATGTCTAAGTGTGTGAGAGAGATAAGAGGGGGCAAAAGTGTCTGTACATGTAAAGTCCCATATTAGTGAGCGTCCCTGTTTGTAAGGTATTAGTGTTAGACCATCCGGTCTTTTTCCATCTGTCCTACAACACCCTAATGGTTCCCTAATGCTTGGTATGTCTGCAGAAATTAAGGCTCTCTGTATTATGTCATTGGCTTGCGTATGTCTAGAGTGCCTGCCAGCACTTTTTTTACATGAAAGACCATGTAGACCATGTTCATCTACTTGTGCGCCGCAAACACATTTATGAGGGAAACATAAATTTAACCCTAACCTCAAACCTATTGCAATCCTGAAGGAATTATCGTCTAAAAGTGTGCCTAAATTCCTCGATGGTAAAGCTTGCAACCATGCACCTGATTCTTTTGACCTTGATGCCAAAATCCTAGCAGTATTTATTGGGGTGGTGGATGATTCCAGGATACGTGAAGATACGTTATTGAAAATTGGACTTTCCCAGGATGATTGAAAAGAAGTAATTGTACTGCGAGGTAGTTCTTCACAACTAATTGACTTCCACAAGTCCTGCGCCTCGGTCACAAGTGAATCGGACAAAGCAGTGACATACGAGGGCAAAATTAAAGAAACCAAGTCAGTGGTGGCAAATGAAGATGCAAGGAAACATGGAGTTGCTAATGTTTCAGATTGTCTAATTCCTAAACCACCTAATTTAATTGGTAATGCAATTTCTTCTAAAGACAAAGGATTAATTTGGCAATTTGTAATTTGTTCTAAAGCATTATGGAGCAATGAATCAAACTCCTCTAGCAAATGTGGAGATTTAAAAATAGGGGCTGCCCTTAGTAGATAAACTAATCGTGGAATAGCTAGTGAATGTTTCAAGAGATAATACGCAATATGGCTTGGAATGGAATGCAATCGACCAGCCATGTTAGTAAAAGCGTGAATCTTTTTGCGGAAAACATGTTCAATAGATTCAAGAGTCAAAGGTGCACCTAAAAGTTCAGCATTTTCCTGAGTCATACATGAAATACCTGGTGCAACTGATTGGAAAGATTCTAGTATACATTGCGTGTTAGTTTGTGGACCTAAAACTGAAACCTCACATTTATCAAAGTTCAATTCTAAACCTACTTCATTTGCACATGAGATAATATGTTGAAAATCGTCTAACACTGTAGTAGGATTGCCACCTAATGTACCATCATCTAAGTACCACATATTAAATTCTGACCCTAAATTTGAAATGACTGGATGCAAGGTTAAACAGAAAAGTGGTGGACCTAACGGATCTCCTTGTTGAACACCTCTACATGAATCAATTAAAGAAGAATTCCACACAAGACTGGATGAGAATCTATAGCACTGATTAATATAAGGATACAAAGTTGGTACAAGTTCGTGAACGGATGAAAGCAATTTCCCTCTATCTACCATATTAAATGCATTCTTAAAATCGATTTTAAGGAAGGCTGTAGGTGATTGATGTGGAAAGGAAAAGAATCTACGGGCAGCGTGTGCTCCTGCTTCAGCAGTTAATTAATTAATTTTGTAGATTCGGAGAGCTGCCGGTGCGGATATGAAGCCAAAAGGGGAAAAATGACGTCGAGCTCTTCCGTTCATCCCAGCCGACGAATTGATCACAAAGAGAACTAGGCATAACGCTTATCATGAAGATGACCCTCCTCTGGGAACGGATCATTCTTTGGGGAAGGATAATTCTCCGGGGACGGATCAATCTCTGGGAGCGGATCATTCTCTGGGGACGGATCATTCTCTGGGAGCGGATAATTCTCCGGGGACGGATCAATCTCTGGGAGCGGATCATTCTCTGGGGACGGATCATTCTCTGGGAGCGGATCATTCTCTGGGGGCGGATCACTCTCTGGGCGAGGACCACTCTCTGGGCGAGGACCACTCTCCTGACGTGCACGAGGAGCAGGGACTGTTTGACTTGTACTCACCAAATAGCGATCAGCTCCTCCATGACGATGATCAGCTTCTCTACGACAATGGTCAACGTCAGGACGATTTCGTGCTTCCAGAAGATTTTTCTGAAGACTTTTCACTCCACAACTCCAATTCTATACCGGTTTCAATTGATCAGTCACAGATATTCTCAATCAGTACTGCATCAGAAGCCTATAGTTCCCAATCTATTGTCCACATGTCACAAATCTCCAGCATCAATTCACAATCATCCACAACTTCAAACAGACGTCTCAAAACAATCAAATCTGTTACATCAACTCAGAAGTGTTGTTTCATCTGTAAAAGCACGGAAGGAAGGAAACAAATTCCAAAGTCAGCAGTGAAACAAGTTTGGGAAGAGAAAAACATCTTGCTGCCACAAAAAAATCGCTGCTGCGCATCTCACCTGCAAGACGGAAAGTTTTATAGCGAAGATCTAGACAACATCGTCGCCAACAAGGCTGGTATTATTATGAATGACGCTGAAATTGCAAGTTGGATAATGGAGTTGATTTCGAAGACGAAGAGGAACTTTCCGATGAAAAGTACAAGACGCTTCTGGGATTTGGCAAAGACGACTTTAGATCCCTCTTTAATTATGTCCAACCCTACCTAAAGTCAAGTGCAAACAGACACCCAAGAAATGCACTAGCCCTCTTCCTCTGTCTTTTAAGAATGAATTTGTCACAACCAGTCTTGGGCATTCTTTTTGGAATTCCAAATGTCATCACCATAAGCGACACCATCAACTCAGTGTCCAAGGCGCTGGAGACGCACTTTGTTCCGAAGTTTCTAGGATTTCAGCAAATGACCCGAGAAGTCGCCATCGCAGAACATGGAAGAAAAATGTTCAAGACACTTTACGAAGCTCCTGAGGACACTCTTTTCCCCATCTTCGATGGCACGTATCTCTACAGCGATTTTGAACTCCAAAAGATGACATGGTCTGGACAGAAGAACCGAAATCTAGTGAAACCAATGATGATAGTGCTTGACGACGGGTACGTAATCGATGCTCCGGGACCTTATAACAGCAATGGCGCGAATAACGACGCAGGAATTCTAAAGTCACTTCTAGTCGAAGGTAGCGAGCTTCTGAAGTTTCTAGACCGGAAAAAAGATCGTCCCGTCGTCGATCGTGGCTTTCGCGACAATGGCCCCCCTCTGAAGAAAATGGGATTTAAGGTATATATGCCTGAACTGAAAGCCAAGAATAAAGACCAATTTACAACTCAGCAAGCAAACACATCTCGCAAATGTACCCTAGTTCGATGGCTAGTAGAAGCTGTAAATGGACGATTGAAGATTAAGTTTAAATTCTTCTCGGACGTAATCCCGGGCTCTTATCTACCCAAATTGCGAAGATTTTTCAGAATTGCGATGGCTATGATCAATTGCTTCTGCCCACCACTTATGGAAGATACTGAAAGGCACCAACAAATCGCCCTGGATGCTTTGGCGAGGTCAAAAGTGGATAATGAAATGAAGAAGCGCGTCGCACGGGACAAGCTAGACCGAAACACGGAAAAGTGGTCAACGGCTTCCTCGTCCGGTGTTCAAGGCTTTCCTATTCTTTCAGTTCAAGATCTAGAGAAGCTGACGTTAGGAGTGTACCAAGTCTCATTGGCCAAGGAGTACACCAAGAAACACTTGAGTGAAGATTCAGAATTTAATATTCAACTTAATACCGAAGTCTCTGGAGTTCTGCGAGCCAAGTTGGCAAGTCGATTCACGTCCGGAAAGAACCACCAGCTCTGGATCCAGTTCGACGCTAATTTACAAAGCCACAACGCCATCACTGGTTATTACTGTGACTGTTGGCAGGGTGCAAGAACAGTTGGTATGTGCGCCCATGTCACTTGCGTAAGTGCCCATTTCTTACGTAGCCTTAAAAATAATGTGCATCTAGTACACACTAAAGGCAATTTAAATATTTTAGGTAATATGGTATCTTGGATATAAAAGACATCAACCAGAAAATCTAAGGAAAAGGAGACCAAGGGTACTCGACTTTGTTGACGCAGCGATGGTCATACGAGGGGCGCCTGGTACGTCGGCAACAGCATTGGTCCAAGTCGATCTTCAAGATTTACAAGAAACTTCAGATGATGATGATTCTTCTCCTAATATTCGGATTTTAAGGAGTCATCACCAAGAATAGTGGTATTGAGAGTGGTGTTTTATTTTCCTGGTATGGTATATTGTTGTATTAAGCTCATGCATTTTTTTGGTTTGTTTTCTTTTTGCTATAATAAACAATTTTCATTTTCCCATAAATCATGTTTTTTTGTAATTTGTATGTCTTCATATTATATACTAATTAAGCTTAATAAAGTGCAAAAAATCCTAAGCATATATACTAATTTAGTTGCACTTTTTACATACCAAGTATGCATATTTTAAGTTCGTCAAAAAATTACAATTATTTTATAACTAAATATAAATAAATATAAAATAAAATAAACCGTCGCAAACGCGCATACGGAAGTAGCTTCAGACTACTTCACTCCAAGCACTCCCACGACATCGCGGGAACACTTGATTTTACTGTATCTGATCTATACATTCCATTTTTTTTTCAAAAATCTCATTTTGCCCCGACCACACCCCCTGACGGCCGGGGGGTGTGGCACGACGGGGGAACTCAAAATTTCACTCTATTTCATCCATAGATTCAATTGCACTAAAAATCTCATTTTGCCCCGACCACACCCCCTGGCGCCCGGGGGTGTGGTCCGGTTGCACCCAAAAGTTGATAGGATCCTCCCCCTGGGGTCTTATGGATGATGGCGAAAACCTATTTCGATTATCTCGATCCGTTCTCCCGTTATCCTGCTGACAGACAGACAGACAGACAGACAGACGGACAGACGGACAAAGTCTTTACATAAAGTAGCTAAAGCTACTTAATAAAATAATATTAATACTAACCGACTAAAAACATAGCCCCGCCACAATAAACAAATAAAAAAAACCCCAATAAGTGGGGGGGGGGAATCGAACCTGGCCTCCACTTACATTTTCTGCCTTGTACAGAGGGAGATGATCTCTCCCTACTGGGCTACTTGGGCAGTGGAGGTTGTGTGTCACTGAATTGCAGCACGCTTTATATGCATGTGTGCAGTACAAACGGAGAGAAGTTTGTACATATCTATATGCATGCATTTATGTAAATCGAACAATAAAACCAAATAATGCAAAATGTACATATTTATTAAGGTCATGCATAATTAAAAATATTTAAAATGGCACCCAAAGTGAAATCATTATGGCGAAAAAATTGTATTTTTAATTTTTTGACTAAAAGTCCCCAAGTTACCATCCAAATTACATAAAAATTGAGTAAATAAAGGGGCCGGGGATTTTGGCTCGAAATCGTCGCCAGGGGGCCACGAAAAAGGGGAAGTTCGTATGTGTCCTTTTGTTATTTCGTTGGAATTTATATCTGTATCTAGAATTTATATTTCCGGGAGTCCAAACATGCTTAAAATATCAATTTTGCACGAGTTGGTAACTAATTATAGTGAATTTAAGGCCAACTGATTTAGAACTCATCGGCAACACTATATATACTCGTACATACCTATCAAAATAAATGGATTCCTACATATATATAAATTTTATTGAAGTTAATATCATAGAATTTTAAATTTGCAGTAGTCACGGTCATCATTTCTATACGTTTTGGATCCATCTTATGGATCCTCTTTTCCCGTTTCGTGGGGTCAGGAATTACCGAAACACAGTGGAAATGGTGCTTATCATGGGGGATATTATATTACACCGCATTGTTAGTTGATAAGCGATTATCAGAACACACAAACAATAAAAATTTGGAAAACGGGTGAGCAAAGGTTTCCTGTACAATAAGATAACTGACGTCAACTTTGTACCTTTGTAACTGTTTGTAAGGTTTGCAAGTTTTTACAAACTAAGGAAATTTGATTTACCAACTTTTACGAAGTGCAAATGCATGCATGTTTTTGTTTCGTAAATAAAAGTTCGTAAATAATTTTAGTTTTTAATATTTTAATTTTCAATTTAAATGAGGGTTACGCTTGTGAGACATTGTTTTAAAACAATGTCTTTAAAACAATTTTTTGCTAAATAGCAAAAAATGTTTACAAAGTAAGCTCACGTTAGGAGTGCGTAACCTTACAAACCTAATGCATTTGCGTAGTTAAAAACTTGACGTGAAATAAAATCCCTAGAAAGGAGAGCGACTCTTTATGTACATGCCCCTCTCAGATCTCTATGTCCTTTGGATATTTGATAGTCCTAGACGAATGTAGGATAACCCCAGAGTGGATTGATGCTACGACCACATTTGCGCCGGCCACACCCCCTCGAAGGTGTGAAAAGCAGGAAAAATTCCCTGTTTTCATGAATTTTAACTGTTACCAAAAATCCAATTTTGCTCGGATTTTGATCAAGTTTGCATTTTTGTGATCCCATATACTTGTGTGATCATATCCAGTAGCAATTTTCACATTTTTGAAATTTTCGTAATTTTCGGATGGATTTTCGGATTCGAAAAAAATCAAAATTTCAAAAAAGTTGAGATTGCTACTGGATAGGATCACACAAGTATCTGGGATCACAAAAATGAAAATTTAATCAAAATCCGAGCAAAATTGGATTTTTGGCGGATTTTTGAAGTAGTAAATTTTGGTAGTTTTCGCGTTTTTGATGTGAATGTGCCATGACATCAAACCACTTAATGTTCTAGGGCTACTACATATGCAAAAGGCATCAAGATCTGAGAGGGGCATGTAGGCGGTCTTCCCTCTTAAGTTATACAGGGTGGTTTAATAAATGTCACGCTATAATGTAAAATTTTTCAACGGGAAAAATTCCTAAATTTCCGCGACATAGATATCGGAATTTTGTCTGTTGAATTCAACAGTTTAAGAATTTTATCACCAGTATTCCATCAGTTTTGATAATAATTAATAAAAATCCCAAATCTTACAACTAAATTAGAGGATTGTCCCTTTGCAAAATTTTACATTTAAACCACCCCGTATAATTAGTTTTATTCATTTCAGCCACATCTTAAACGTGTGGTCATCTGGAACAGAACGCGTTGGGCATGCAACCTTAAGTTTGTCGAATGGGGGCTACATAAGTTTGTGGCCTGGGGGGGATAGCGTAAGGTCGGATAACCTTTTCAAGAAGCTTCCAGCTCAAGGCGTCTTTGAAACGGACTTTAAGCGGGACATTATTAACGAACGAGGAAAACCAGACTTACAATTCAACATCCCACCCCATCTTCTCGACTCGGACAAGGTTATTCAGTGGAAAAAATCTTATGAAGGGGACGGGGTCTACAAATTGAAAGGGATGAATTGTGCGAACGCGGTTGAAAAAGCGTTAAACAGCGGGGGACTTTATTTGCTGGGGGGATCACACCATGGATTCGCAAAAATTCGCGTTCCACTTGCATCCGATGAATCATTCGGTGTAAAATTTAAAACTCCTCTGCTCACGTTACCCCAAGGGATTCTGAATCGAGTCAAGTTAACTCTTGCCGTAATGGAAAGTGGTACCTTTTTTCGCACGGTGTATATTTTGATTCACATGGGGTCCTCATTTTGTCTTATTCCTGGGGTAATTTACTGCTGTAAGAAAATAGGTTGGCCTGTTTTTCGTTATTTTGCAAGGATTCCAGAGCCGGTTTTTTATACTCTACCCGTGGTGGTAATTTTAGCATCATTTTATCCTGAGAATATCTTCTCATTCAGTCGCTTCGTAAGAGACTTCGTAAGAGAATTTTTCCGATAGATCAGTAATTATTTTAAATTTAAATTAATTAATTGACAAATTCCTCTGATTCGGATTCGTAAAATAATCCAAACATGACTTCTAATATAACTTAACTAACCTTAACTCAAAATTTAATGTGTGGACAAATCTGAAATTTATTAAATCATGGCAATTTGAGGTTTGATGACATATAAACAATACATGCTAAAAATTTTATGAAATATTTAAAATAAAATTACCAAGGGCAGATCAAAAATTTTTTTAACTAAAATTCATTCACGTTTTACTACAAATTAAAAAATAAGTAATCTACGTAGTTTCATCAACTTTTATAGGAAGATGACCGCAGCATCTAACTTTAAATTGTAAGAATCTTTAAACAATATAAATTCTGAACTCGGCGTTTAAGTCGTCCTAATTTATCGGCGTACTCACGACCACGTGTTATTTCTCATCGCATCGCAGCTCATTTTGCGAAATAAGGACATGTCCAATTGCTGGGTAAATTTGCGAGAGAAATCCGATAGTTTTCCAGCCAAAATATTTGTGAAATCTAACAATTTATTTTGCTATGCTCTATTTGCGAAATATGCGAGATATGCGAAAGTTTCAATAATTTTACAAATGCTAAATTATAAACAAATTATGTGTCTGGATGTATCAATAATGACAAAATTGTGTATACTGATACTAGATTTGGACGAATACAGCCCGACTAAAATTGTAAATTTCAAAATAATTCATTATGGTTATTTTTTACCACTTCATCAATCTCGCGTAATAATGGACCATATCTAACACACAATTAAATTGTCGAGCAAGTTCACAATTTCAAATCGGTGCTTAAACCAGATTAATCTGATGGCTAAATTTTTAAAATACTAAAAACTTTATGTGAAATACATGTATATACGTACTCTCCATCCACGCCGTTTTTCACAAATTTGTATGACCTGGATAAGATTTAAGTTTATGGAGGCAATGCGAATTTTAAAATCAGAAATTTCAATACATTTTTGAAGTGGTCGTCATTCACATCGCATCCGATCATACCTGACAAAATACATTTCTGACTTTAGGCAAATTTAAAAATCTGACATCGGCGTTAAAATCGTGACAATTTAAGAATTGATGACATATCAACACTGTAAATGTTGTTAAATATTCAATAATTATATTTAACAATACATTCATCAGGTTAATGTAAAATCAATGACTCAATTCCAAATAATTCTAGCTGAAATTTTGAAACTGGTCACTTTTTTGTCCCTGATCATAAATAGCAAAAATTTCGAATTTTGGCAAAAATTTATAATCTTGCACGCCGTTATAAATTTATTCTGATTTATTCTGGGATAGATTATTTAAACAGTAATTTGTAGCTAAATTACATGTTTATTTACGGTTCATCACATGCAATTACATTTCATAATAATTTATTATGCACAATGTAATGAAAATTTGATTGTGCATTTGTCTGTACAATTTCTAAGAACAGGGGTAATTTCCTATCAATTTTACACCTTTTATGAATTTTTTCTGGAATAAGTAACGTGGCTCGAG